AGTGGTAGTGATTTTACCTCCCCCCTTGAACTTTTTGACAAGCCTATCTAGAAATGCTAGGCATTCCTTGTCGCCAGTGTAACTAAGGGCAGCAGCTGTGGCAGCAGGCGAGGAATGGAAGGATCCGTCTGGACAACGCAACGTGAGTAGCTTTTCCCAGTCCAATGGTAAGTCAACCATTCCCTCCAAACTGAAAAGTAGGGTCGTTGGTATGGCGTGTAGCACATCCAGAGGTATCCTACAATTTGAGAGCCGGATTAATTATTACTTAACTAATTATACATAGACTATTCAGTTCAATGTACAAATCCAGATTTATCACATGCATGTAGCTAGGTATACATACTTAGAGAGCTTCAGATTCCTCTTGGCATATATCTCTTCCAAAACAGTGTGATTGTAAGGGATGTCCAAGTCCAGGTCCTTCGCCTTCTCTAGGAGTGCTGGGAAGTTAATCTCGAAGCCACATGGCATCCAGTCCTGTTCCTCTTCTAGCAACCTGCTCATATTTTCTTTGATAAATAACACACCTATACACCAGAAAAGGTGCACTCTACATTAGATACATGATCCTTCCTTGGAAGTAAACAAAGTATATCGCTGAATAAAATAAAGAATGAAGTGATCAATCAATTTACCTCTGTTGCACAAGTTGTCATTTCCAATGTTCCAAGACTTCGCAGCCACCACACATGCGAGGGTGCTGATCATCCGATCTTGGACCATAAAGAAAGCGGGATCACCCCACGAACCATCTGGTAGTTGATTTTGAACAATCCAATCGATGCACGAGGGGAATTGCGGTCCATCGCCTCCGTCAAGGTTCTTGACAAGAGCAACCAACGCCGTATCATAGGCTGAAACATTCATTGACGTCTCATCATCACCCAATGACCCTAGTGTGGTTCTAATGGCATCGATCATCTGTTCCATCTCGCTTGGTTCATCCTTTAGGAAGGTTTTGATTTATTTGTCAGGGTTTAATATGTATGTTTGCCAGCTCATGTGCAATAGTTATTATTCTGATCAATACGAGTTATGCATATATGCTCACCTTGTGTGTTCTCCATTCACGCAATTCTGCCTCCGGATATGATGGGGATTTGCTACTTAGCAGGAGTACTAAATGCCAGGCATGAGAAGTGGAAAAGAACATGTAAGTCATATTAAATTTATACCCTCTTAACATTTTGAACTCATTTATGAGAACCTGGCAGTTAACTTTTAGATTCCAATTTCTACTCAGACGTTCAATCAATATAATGAACTAAGAGATTTAATACTCCAAAAATGCAATACCCAAGGCATGTATTAATGGACATTCCTAAAAATGTATAGATGGATCAAAGGATAACAAATGACTCATACCATCGTTAAGTGGCTCTAGAATAGTGCCAACAGACTTAAACATAAATTATTTTTCTAGCTCCATGACAGGGTTCAAACAAAAAAAAACTACTAAAAATGCCAGCATCTTGTTATTATGATTGTAATTTTAGCACTAAAAGCTGCGAGAAAACTTCCATACGTCTGTATTGGGACTGCATCTTTGCTCAAGCATCTTGGTATGAGATTGTAGAGAATAAAAATAGTGGTATATCAACCTATGATGAAATCATTTTTACCTCTTTAGAATTGGCATGGACATAGTCATTTTAGGCTGCTGGAATATTTAGAATCTAAGGAACAACAAAATCTTTTGAAAATGAAGTGCCAGTGTTAACAGTTGAAAATTCCCCCTAAAGCAAAATCTAATACTTTTGGGGCATCTAGTGAAGCACAAGTACACTGCAATTCTTCAGAATTGGATTGCCCAAAATAGTCATTGGATAGGCTTTATTTATTTATTTATTTTTCCTTTCTGTCTGTACATATGTAACTTACTTTATATTAATAGGAAAATACATAGGGCGTAGAAGAAAGTTGAACTCATGCACATTATCACTATTATATGCTGCATGGAAAATATGCCAGCCAACTAAAACCTCTAGATCAACATCAATTGAAACGTTAGGTGGACAGGAGAGAATATTCATAGAAGAATCTATGTATTATGTCATAGCATGTAAACAATGTGGGCTGCTCTGGATTGAGTTCCCTACTTGCCAATTATCCATTGGTCTATGTGTTTCTTTTGCATTAAGTTTAATCATGTATGTATAATTTGAACCCACAACATGATTAATGGATTGGGTTATTAAGGCTATGTGGATGAATGTTGTAGCTTGTATACCTTTTTTTTCAATAATATACTGATCTTACTTGTGAAGTGAAACTAATACCATTTTGTGATTACTGTGTTCTCTGGGCAGACTGAAATCCCCAACTTTACCATTCTTTCCAGAATAGGAAGTTCGTGAAAGAATTTTCTTGTTTTTCGTTGAAAATACCAACCTTAACCACACAACCAGGGCTGGGACTACCCCCATCCCTAGAGGAGCGTACGGTTTTGAAGCTCCTATTCCAACATGAACGGAAACAAAATCGTCGAATTTTGCTATTTGTTTCCCCAAAGGGGTAATTGAAGAATTAGAAAAAGATGCGATTATATATTAAAAGTTCATGATGTGCTAACGAGAAAAGTGGGCAATAGGGTAGAAAATCTCACAAAAATCAGGAAGATCTGATTGGTGTTTTTATACATTGGAAAACGACAACCATTTTGTTTTGCTATACGCATTTGCCATGAAACCTAGTTTTTTTTGAGGGGTTGCCATGAAACCTAGTGAAGAAATGACAATAATTCTTTAGTGGTCCGGAATAACAATTTAATGATTAGCACTGCAAGTCAGCCCAATTCCCGTTTTAATGCTATACTTAGTCAAGTGCTTTTGTTGAGTTTTTCAGTTCTCATGTTCTTTATTAGACCTAAAATACCTCATACATGTGCAACATGATTCTGATAAGGTTTAGTCCATGTCAAGAGTAATCAAGAAATTGTGTTCTCCATGATCATTTATGTTTGAAGGTAGCCTATAGTTATAGTGGTTTTCTTTGCTTATTCATCGAATCAGAAGGAAAGAGGCTTGCAAAGTAGCTTTTTGTAGGTGAATAATTCCAAAGTTATAAATAGCAGGCCATGAAAAATAGTGACAGAAGCATTAGCGCACTAAATTGCAGCTATAGTGCGCTAAATTTTGCTGTAGCACGCTAAATAGCACTAAAAGGCTTACCAGGATATCACACTATTTAGAACTTTGAACTTCAAAGATTCTAAGGTTAGGATACCTATACCATGGTAAAGAAACTTCAAAACTCGAGAAAAATTTCACAGTTACTTATTCGTTGGCGCAGAACGTGTTTGGCATTAACAAATTTGGATATTGAACTTACTAAAGGAAATAAAAAATGTGATGTGCTTTGTTACTCGCATGCTAATAAGCTAATTTTTTTACTAATGACAAAATTTATGTTTGGCCTTAGAATTATATATGTCACGTACAATATGTTCAATATGTTTCCATTCTTACAATTAAATAAAGACATTATATTGTTGTTTGAGTTTTAAACAACATCATATTAAAAGATAAAACAGACACATATATGCTTCCTAATTTCTATATTATGGAAAGTCTCTCTAGAAAGCAAGCTCACTGGATTGCAATAAATAATTTATATAAAATATATATCCACCACAGAGGAGCCCGCCTATTTGCGCAAGCCGCTGTACTAGTTCAAACATTTTTTAAGAGAATGTGAGCCAGAAATAATAATGTTATTTCGGGAGTACTCAAGTTTTTTGATAACCATGCATGCATTCAGGTGTGGATATTGATAGATCATGATTACCACATTGTTGACGCTGAGAGTGTAAGTGTAGGGAGAGTCGTCGCCATGGCTCTGGTGTTGTCTGGTCGAGCACTGGAGCATGCCGGACTGTAGCGGTGAAAGTCAGCATCCTCCACCTTCTCTCTCTCTCTCTCTCTCTCTCTCTCTCTCTCTCCCTCTCTCTCTCTCTCTTTGTGTCAACCTTTTGGTTTTTGGCTCAGTGATGAGCTCCTGCATGCTGCTATGATCAAGTATTTATGAAAGAAGGGTCTAGGTGACAGGTTTTGTTGGCAGTATCTACGGCATATTAAGGCTGAGGGAAAAGGGCATCAAAGTTCAAGCACACGACAAAAGGCTGCTATGATCGTCCTTTTTAATCTACAAGTATTAGAAGTGGCAGCGAGTCTGACGGCGGATGTTGTGCTTGTTAATTGGCAAGTAGTAGAAGCAGTAGGCATTAGCGAGTGCGACTGGTATTATTGTTGCCATCACCATAATGGGCAACTTACCCTATTTGTTGATCCGACCTTGCTATACATACGATGAAATCTCCGTCCAACATTACGATTAGAGACAAATCGTTGATGATTCAGGCCATAACATTTGCAGTCTGGTCGTACCGATGTACGATGAATATGAATCGTACGCAGAGCAGATTTTTTGTTGATCAATTGAAGCGGGTGGTCAGTCGCATGTGTCTTTGGCACGCATAACATGGGTCGCTAAGATGGCAAGCCATACATTAATTCCACCTGCCGGACAAAACGCGAACCCTAGGTATCTGTTTGTTGTCCAATTGATAGAGGTGGGTGGTTACTTGCATGCGTGTCTGATTAGCTGGACATGCGTGGCTGACAGAGGCCCAAACATATATATTAATTCCAACTGCCGGACAAATTGAAACGTAGGCATAACAACTTGATTCTCTCTTTAAGAAAAAAGTCGCCGTTGAAACATCAGCGATCGTCCCATCACCGGTTCACACCTTCACCCCAATGACGAGACTAATAGGGCCGGCAAACGCATAATGGTGGTCATGTTCCTGAAATTGTCACGGTGGTTGATCGAATAGCTGGAACATCACTGTCAGGGGAAATGAAAAATTGCAGCACTTGTGTTCAGCATGTTCACACAGGTTGTCTTTCGTACTTGTCTTTTCAGCAGGTTGTCTCATAACCACCTTACTGAGCATCACTGTTAGCCAGTTCCATGAGCTGATCGCCCCATTTCCCATGGCAAATCCTACACAAGGTCGTTCCTCTTCCATCCTGCTAGCATCTGGACGCCAGGCACCTCAACAGGCCGTCCTCCTCTGGGCTGCTCCACAGTTCGTGTCAAAGTGTGGGCTACATCATGGAAAAAGAAAGCCTCCTCGCTGCAGCTTCGCCTGCTCGGCCTCCGGGATTCCTTCCACCGAACCACGTACGTTGCTCTGTTTCTTCTCTCTGATTTCTGCTCCATCTGGTAAAGAAGGAGTAAGAGTCCGTAGCTTTGCTTGGGTGGACTTTTCTATTTTTCTTAAGCTACTTTCGATGCAGATTCGCATGGATGCACATATAATTCTTCTCTGTTTACCAATGCCTGAAACTTATACTTGTGGTTGGGATTGCTAATTTATCTATTTGTACTTCTAGAGTTAGGCCGTCTAATTGATTTGTTTCATACTGCTCTCCTTTCGCCGAACAGCCTATGTTGAGGAGATGTTGGCACGAGAAAATGCAAGGACGCGCAACACGGTATGAACATCACTCCTAAGTCCTAACCCTTGTTTCGACTAGATGTTTCAAGTCCATGTCATGTAAGGATTCACGTCACTGATCAAATGCTGGATGTAAATTAGGAACGGAAGGCTAGAATACGGAAACATCTGGAGAAACCTGAATTCTCGCCATCTGCCTATGACACAGCATGGGTGGCTATGGTGCCATTGCCCGACACCAATCGGCAGGCTCCATGCTTCCCTCAGTGTGTTGAATGGATATTGCAAAATCAACACTGTAGTGGTTCATGGGGTATCAACCAATTCGGCTTATTAGCAAACAAGGATATTCTGTTATCAACACTGGCTTGTATCATTGCACTTAAGAAATGGAACGTTGGCTCCGACCACATAAGTAGAGGTATGTATATATAGATATAGATTGTTTTACCTTGCATTATTTTAGTTTTTTCGGAGAGGAGGTTGAAACCCCTGGCCTTGCTTGAAAGATCCTGACACGTATAAAATGATACTTGCAGGACTAGAATTTATTGGAAGGAATATCTCCACTGTAATGGATAAGCAGATTGTTTCTCCTATAGGCTTCAATCTCATTTTCCCTGGTATGTTTAACCATGCTATCAGGATGGGTTTGGAATTTCCAGTCAGAGAAACTGATATCAGTGGGATACTTCACCTTCGTGAGATGGAGCTGAGAAGGTGTGTAATGAAAAATGCTGCCATATTAGTGTAGCACGGCTCATCGGCCTAGTACGTTTGCGCCTTCACCAGCAACCTAGCACTGCTTGCCTTCACCGTCAAGAAGTCTTTTTTTCTACTTGTTCTTATAAAAATAACGTAGAAAAATTGTTCTACGGTTCAGGGCTTCAAATAATTGTTTCCTTGAAAACTTATTTTCAAGAACAACTTTACAAAATTTCTTATGTGTTTGTAATTATTTTGAATGGAAAATTTGTCCTTGCTTTATTTCTTTTCCTTCTTGTTTTCAAAAGAATTGGATAAGTGTTTTAAGATGTTTTCCCTTAGTATGGTTTTGTACAATCAAGTTTGACTGAGGAAATCCCTTCAGAAAAAAAGAATTTGACGGAGGAATATAGGTTATGGTGCGGTAATCGAAGATTTTGTAGCATCCAAGATACTAGGGTACTCTAGGAGCATGCAAGTTTTCGTGGTCAGATAGCATCCGGGGAGCTCGTGGGAAAAATATACAAAATCAGGTCTGCATAGTGTTTTTCTTCAAGTTTTTTTACATTCAATTTTTATTTGCCACGAGCTCCAGGGATGTCATTGACCATGAAAAGTTGCACGAGCCTACCCCACTTGAGCATCTTAGATGCCTAAAAGTTTCAGATTTTTCTAAATTTGTGTACTATTTGTTTTTCTAATTTACTGTTCAGGGGCGGGTGCAGTTGGCCTGGGCGCCGAATCACTGCTCTCGCCCTAGTGTTGGTTCTATGTTCTTTTGCTTACTAATAAAATTAGCAATCAAAGTTTGTGTATTACCTATGAGTAACATAATATACATATTTATACTTGCTTTAATTTAGATTGGCTGGTGAGGAATCTAACGGGAAAGAAACATATCTGGCCTTTGTTGCTGAAGAAGGGTTGGTAAGCCTGCTGGACCGCAATGAAGTTATGAACTTCCAGAGAAAGAATGGGTCGTTGTTCAACTATCCTGCCGCAACGGCCGCTGTATTAGTCCACCGCTACGATGATAAAGCTCTCCAATACCTCAATTCCATTGTCAGTATATTTGGCAGTGCAGGTACGTGTTTGTCTAATTTTGTTTCTGAAGCATCTCCAAGGGTGAAGATTCTTGCTATATACCTAATGCCGCTATACGTATACAGTACCAACAGTGTACCCACAGAATATATATTATCAGCTCTCAATGGTGGATATGCTCAAAAAGATCGGAATATCTCGGCACTTTTCCAGTGAGATAAACAGTATCCTGGACAAGGCATACATGTAATAATCAGGAGTAAATACTACTTGATATCTGTTCGTAGTAGTATGTAAACTTGATTGTATTCACTTTGCAGTTCCTGGTTACAGAGAGATGAGGAAATAATCCAAGATGTAGAAACATGTGCAATGGCATTTCGCCTTTTACGGATGAATGGATATGATGTTTCATCAGGTAGATACTTTGATCGAAATTCCATGTCTCCTAACAAACATTCTCTTTTTCCTTTAATTTTACTTACTGCAGTTAAAAATTAATCTTGTACAGATGAGTTGTCCCATGTTTCTCAAGCCTTCACTTTCCATAACTCACTGGAAGGTTATTTAAATCAAACAAAATCTTTATTAGAGTTATACAAGGCTTCAGAACTATGTTTGTCAGAAAATGAATTGGTCCTGGAGAACATAAGTAACTGGTCAGGGCGCTTATTGACAGAAAAGTTGTGCTGTAATGGGTCAGAAAGAATGCCAATTCTTGGAGAGGTAAGTATCTACGGATTTAAAACCCATTTCATTTGACATTTTGGTTTAAATTCAATATTGTTCTTTTGTAATTTCAGGTAGAATATACTCTTAAATTTCCATTTTATGCAACAGTGGAAGCTCTAGATCATAAGAGGAACATTGAACATTTTGACTCTAGGGTTCCTCAGCAGCTAAAGACAAAAAACTTGTAAGGCCCTCTTTTCTGAAAAATAAATCTCTGTGACATCATGTCAATATATGTCACAATAAAATGAAAAAAAAA